TGCCACGTGTACGTGGATGATATAATCATCTTCTCCCCGGACGAGACATCACATTTTGAACATGTTGACCTAATATTAAAAAAAATAGGAGAAGCAGGCATGCGCGTTTCTCTCCAGAAATCCAAATTCTTTAAAAAGGAAGTGGAGTTTCTTGGGTTTGTAGTATCAGCAAAGGGAATAAGTACATGCCGTGACAAAATCGAAGCAATTGCAAACTATCAGGAGCCCAAGTCACTCAGAGCATTGCGATCTTTTCTTGGCCTTTCTGGCTACTATAGAAGGTTCATTAAAGATTACGCCCATATCTCAAAGCCACTTACCAAATATTTGAGGGGTGAAAACGGTCATGTTAAAAGCAAACATTCGAAGCATATTTCAATTTCATTCGACAATGATGCAAAGCAGGCTTTTCAAAAATTGAAAAACATTTTGTCATCCGAAGATGTTCTTCTCCAACACCCGGACTATTCCAAACCCTTCGAAATTACAACAGACGCTTCATCCGTGGCTTTAGGTGCCGTACTGTCACAAGGTGGTAAGCCAATAACGATGATTTCGCGCACACTTTCAAAAACTGAAGAACATTACGCTACTAATGAGCGAGAATTACTTGCCATAGTATGGGCTTTCCAAAAGTTGAGGCACTACCTTTACGGTGTCAAGGATATTTATATCTATACAGACCATCAACCATTGACATACGCATTATCCGAAAAAAATCCAAATTCGAAGCTGAAACGATGGACTGCCTTTATCGATTCCTATTCTCCTAGGTACTTTTATAAGCCAGGCAAAGAAAATATTGTAGCTGATGCTTTGTCGCGACAATACATGCACAACCTCTCCGACGATACAGCCCATAGCGAAATATCTTCTAGCGATGCTATAAAAACAGTTAAGTGTCCAGTAAATCAGTTTAAAACCCAGCTTTTACTTTCTCAATCCGATTTCAATAGTAAAACCACAAAAATTTTATTCAAAAAATTTCTCCGACATACAATTAGGTTCAATTCCCCAGAATATCTTTTACAAACGCTTCGTAGCTGTATAAACCCAGATGGCGTTAACGGAATTTTTTGTGAATTTGAAGTACTAGGAAAAATCCAATCCTTAATACTATCTAACTTCCCCGGCATTAAATTTTTACACACAGAAAAATTAGCAATTGATCTAGTCAACAAAGACGACCAAGTAGAGGTCGCAACAACCGAGCACAATAGGGCACACCGTTCAATATCTGAAAATTACAAGCAAATCACAAATGAATATTACTTCCCTGAAATAAAGAAAACTCTAATGACGATATCTAAAAATTGCAAAATCTGTTTGGAAAATAAATATAAACGACACCCACCGAGACCGGAAATTGGAAAAACTCCCATCCCAGAATTTCCAGGCGAAATCCTGCATATCGATATCTTTTCAGTTGACAAACATCATTTCCTAACATGCATCTGCAAATTTTCCAAATTTGCAATAACTCTTCCAATACAATCAAGGTCAACCATAGACATAAAAAATGCACTATTAATTTTGCTCAACAAATTTAAAAAAACTAGAATTCTGGTATCGGACAACGAAAAATCTTTTCAATCAAAAACAATATCCCATATGCTTAGAGATTATTTTAAAATAGATCAGTTTTTCGTACCGCCTTTGCACAGCAAAAGCAATGGACAGATAGAACGTTTTCATTCCACCGTAACAGAAATAGCCCGCTGCATAAAATCCGAACAAAACCTAACTGACATTACTGAACTTATACTACTTGCAACATACAAATATAACAACACAATACATTCCACCATTGAAGCAAAACCAATAGATATAATTAACGATTTTTCTGCATTTCATCTAAACCAAATTAAATCAAAGCTAATTTCAGCCCAAGATAAAATTTTAAAACGCTGTGGCAATGATAAACGAGTTTTTAAAGTAGGTGTGGTAGTTTTTGTCCGACGTAATAAACGATTAGGAAATAAACTAAATAAAGTTTACATTCAAAACACCGTTCAAAAAGATTTGGGTACGACCGTAATGATAAACGGTAAACAAATACACAAAGATAACATCCGCTAGCTGTATATTACCTTAATTGGAAAAGGATTAATAAAATTAATTGAAATTTTGAACGCATTACCACAATGAAAATATAAAAAAGAATACATGTTAATTATTTCAACAAAAAGTATCACAATTGTTAAAAAATACACGTATATATATTAATAAATAATGTTGAACCTTTGCCTAAGACGAGTACATTTAATGTATAAGCAGTATTTCACAAAAAATTTGCAATAATTGTATAAAATAAGTACATAATCCTACAATATTATTCCTGTAACAATACTTTTCACATAATTTTCCGAAAAACGTATATTTTGCCTAAACCAAATACATATGATGTATACTGAAAAAATTTTGACTAATTTATAATACTCATACGACAATAAAAAAAGTAAAAATGATTTACGTTATAGCACAAACAACTTTGCAGGACATATCCAACCTCTGCCGAAGGCAGACACATATTTTTAATGTTTAAGCAATTTTTCAAAAAAAGCAACAAACTACAAAATGTTTAAATTAAATGATTTGTTCTTACAATTTAATAAAATTTATAATTACCTTTTCAATATAGCGAAGATGCAAAACCATATTTTTGTAAATAAAAAAAATACTTAGTTGTAAACATACGCGCGTATGCACGTATCTATGAATTTCGCACTAATTTAATTTTCTATAGAAAAGTCCAAATGACTTTCTTTAACCAACTAGTATGTAACTATAAGTATCAAATTGAATTAACATATTTAGTTTTTAAATAAAAAATATGTCGGATCAGGGACGCTCCGAGCTTAAGAAAGGGGGGAGTTAACACAGCAGTAGGATTGAGTGTGAGTATTGTATGTGTGCCTGTGTGTTACCCCAATAACAAACAGAAAACAGACATACTTACATAAATATCAATAGTTGTTGTAAGCAGGCATTGCATTTTATTGACATGCGGCGGTGGCTTACCGCCTGCATTAATCAGCTGCTGTGTTGATCCAACACTTCGCTTAAGTACTTTTTCTCACAGGCCGACGCTTCGAGTTAGCCGAAGTGAAATCGTGCGCTGATACCTGAAAAGGTCGTCGCTAAAAAAGTACTTAAGCGCGCATAGTTTTAAGGTCAAAGTAGAAAGTGTAATTGTGAAGTGTGATATAAATAAAGTTGTTTAAAAATAATAATAAAGTGTTTCATTCGGCGACAGTACCAAAGCGGAAAACTATCCAAAGAGATCGGAAGAAAAATTAAAACCCTTTGGTACTGCCTCGAAATAACTTGTACAAGTATATAGGAATTGTACTTTATCATTCTCACCAGGTTTTCTGTTATCACTTTTCTTGAAGCAGCTTAACATTCCAGGCAAATAATATAAGCAAAGACGACCAGACTTAGTACACTTAAATATCTTCTTGTTTTGCTTTGGAAATGCGGCTGAATTAGTACGGGTCTGCGCATAAAGAGATCTAAGCAGTAAAGTGTCGGTGGTATTTACAAACCCTTTCTTGAAATGCCACAAGACTTTTTTCAAACATCGCAAAGACGGTTCTTTAATAGGCCTTTTAAACGTTGGGACAGACGGCAACAGGAAAATTTGGTGAGTAAGGTCACTGAGCCATAATTCTTCCGCTGTTGCGTTTGGTCCAAAGGTTAAGAACAGGAAAGGACGAATCAGGAGCTGAGACCCTGCGGTACAAAAATTCCACTCAAATCAATTCAAGTCTCATTTTTTATATTAATATATATATATTATAAATGAAATACATCCTTTACCTCCCAACATTTCGTTTGTTACGTTCACAAGCGATAAGCTGTGAAATTGATGCCAATAATTCCGCTGTAGATTTGAAGAGAAGTAAAATTTAGTTTAGTTTCACCGAAGCATTTCAAAACTTTATCTTAATAACATAAATTTTTAGTTTAATAGACGTGGTCAAGATTTACCTTTGCTTGAGTTCTACTAAGAATAAATATAAATTGCTTTCCTGCCGAAACGTATGCATGTATGTATGTATGTATGTATATATGTATGTATGTGTGTATGTGTGCCTACATGAAATTACACAATGATTGAGTAGCTCATGAGCCGCTCACTCATACAAAGTAGGAAAAGTTAATTAAAGAGCAGCACAACTTTGCGTTGTGGTGCATGGGAACTTCTCGACTGTCGCAAAGTAATCGTAAATCAGAGTTGACAAGGATATACAGATGTACTTACATATACTCGTATATGTATATGTGGATGTTTGCATAAGTTTACGGACGCTCTAGCATTTTTTCTGTTTTATTCGCACTTTAATGTTAATTCAAGAGGTCTACAAAGCTTGAAGCTTTCGTCCGCAATTAAAGTGGCTTTCGCTTTGTATTTACATGGGTAAGTATGTATGTAAGTGGAATCTTTAGTTAGTTACTTGTTTAAGAAAACAACTGTAGGATGGCGGGGCAGATGGTGTTTCAATAATTCTCATTGCAAAAGGTTTTAAATTTTTTAAACTTTTTGAGCATTTATTTTTCGTAAAATATCTTACTTCTCTTTTATTGAAATCGTGCAGAATATTTCACAATAATTTAATGTTAACTCTTTCATGCTATTTACAATACATTTAACTTATCTAATGCATACATTAGTAGGTTAATTTAAGATTTTAACACCTTTTTTGGTTTCCATTTCAGCAACCCTTTGTTGAATCCGTATATTTAATTGATTTATTATAATTATTTTCATAAATTTTCAATATAGATTTTGCTGATATCCTACTTATTGATGCTTCACAACTTTGTTTTCTCCTTTGAGCTTATCTGTACTTCAGTTTTATGTTACGTTTAGTTCATAAAAAGTTTGCCATAAAATTTTATTCATAATTATTAAATAAATTTTTACGTCAGTTTGTTATAAAATAGTTTTCCACTTAATAACCTTAACGGTAAATAATTATTTACAACTAACTAAATGAAGTCAAATTTCTCATTTTAAAATTTTCCCAAGAAAAATTATAGTCACGCCTTCTGCAAAACCAATATCAGAGGCAATACGATAAAGAGATTGCAAATGGAAATTGATTGGATGAGCTGGTAGGAATCTGCCGCCGACATTATTGCCGATGCAGAGTACTCACCTACAAAGAAAAAAAAAACAAAGCAAAACAAAAAACATTAATTTTAATGCGTCATCCTCATTTTAACAAAAAAGCCTTACCGCTCAGCACGTGTAGATCCACAGAAACCGGCGCACTGTTCGACGGCTCACATGTATAATTGCCCGAGTCGTTTTTCCGTACGAACGGTATTATTAACGAGCCAATCTGCAACGAAAATACGCTCAAATTATACCTTCCAAGTCGCACGGCACACATTGCTTTGTACTTACTGTGTTACGTTTACTCTCCACATTGCCGAAGATGGCACGATCGATTTCGGTATACCAGCCCATTTGATTGTCATTCGTGATTTGTGCTTTACCCCGGAACCAGATTATATAGGTAGGCGGATCGAGTGTATCACGAATAATGCAATGCAGTGCTACTTTGCTGCCGGCTTTTACGAAGCGGATCTGATCGCCGATGAGCTCCGTGTGTGGTACTAATCAAATAAATAGTATGAAAATAGTTTTTGAAATCACAATTTCCTTTGTACTCATATGTGTTAATTATTAATAATAAATACCGAGAGAAATTTCGAAACTTTTTAAAATCTTACCAACAACTGTCAAGTAAACTTTCGCGCTCATCTTCGGCTCTGTAGCAGCTTGGCATTCGTACCATCCCTCATCGGTCTTCTGCACGTATTTAATTTGCATCGACCAGGTGTAATCGTTATCGCCTTGAAATATTGACTGAAAGCGTTGGTCAGCAATGAAAGTTGCTTGGTCAACAGATAATATATGCCCATCGCGAAGGCGCACCCAGGAAATCGGTTTGTTCAGCATACGTTGAATCTAGAATTTCAATGTAATACGAAATCAAAATCTCAGCTGAATTAAAAAATATTAGTTTACTATTTAGTACATTATGTAGAACCAATAGAAAATACTTATTTTTTATATGGACTTAAGTCCTGCCCCAAATGGCTGACATAGGTCCAGGAGTAGATTACCGGATTTTAGCCAAATCAAAAATATCAAGCTATTCGTTCTTTCTTTCTACTGTTTGGCGTTAGTTGGAAATACCAAGTGAAACCAAGTGGCTATTCACCTGAAGTTTCCAAGGGTGTGGAGGCCTTGCTCTTCCCCTGCTTTTATCGGCAGCCAAAGCATCGAATACTTTCAAAACTGTCAACGTCAACGGGCAACTCGTACAGCTCATCGTTCCATCTATTATAATGTCAATGAGCAAAGTACCATAAATCGTTCGCAAAGCTTTTGCCTCGAAAACACCAAGAGCCGACTAATCGGATTTCGATATCGTCATATAGCGCCCGGTACAAATACCAGTACGGGAATAATGAGGCAGAGTTTGGATTTGTTAGTCGAGAGAACTCTCGTTGGATTTCTAAGTAGGTAGGTCGTAGGCAGTGTATACGACGAAGTTATGACGTGCGTAGTGCGGTGGGAGTTTAGTCGCGAATGCGATAACATTTGTTTGAAGACGAAATATCTTCTGTCTGTTGACGGTGCGCAATGCGCTCGATAAGGCCTTGTATACGATATTTAAGAAGCTTATCCTACGTTAAATGGCGCCTACCGCGAAGTACCCTTTTTTATAGATCGGGCAGAGTACACCTAAATGTCATGGTAAAAAAATGCCGGTAAGACATTTGCTCCAGCCATTGTCATAAATGAATAATGGAACAAAAATTGGTACCGAAAATCATCGAAATCATCAAGCAAGGCAAATGTTTAATTTTCTCTCTATGAGAATTGTATCGTAAGGGGCACACCTTGTGTGAAATTTCAAAACAATCGATTTTTTTTCATATTTCGGTAGATTACACCTCTAAAAATAACATATTAATTTGAATTCAATTCGGTATCTCAAATAGTTTTTGAGTTGTAGTAATCTAAAGAGTAGCCGCTCTGCAGCAAGAGAGTCTCGTTAGCTACGAGACGTACCTGAGGTATTTTATCTTTAAACGCGTTTTTCTCGAAACAGCATTTTCCAAATTTGCTGCAGTGATTACTCAAAAACAAATGATCCGATCACTATCGACTTTTTTTACATGTTCTATATATAATTCTCCATACAATAACCTATCGATTTTTGATCTGATCAAAAAATCGAATTTGGCAGGCCAAAAGCGACCAAAATTTTGAGTAAAATTCGACTATTTTTTTTTTAAATGCCGCCATATTGTCAATTTTTGATTTTTTTTTATCGTAGGTCATTGTACAGACAATATTATCTCATCGAGAATTTTTTTTAGATTTCACCCGCGGAGAAGGCCTGACCTTTTTTTCACGCCGTTAGAGATCGACTATAACTTAAGATATATTTAATTTTTTTCTTCAAGAATTTCACTTTATATTCCTGAAACATGTATAAATATATTCTTAAAATTTTGAAATAATCGATAAAGTATTTTTTTTAATAAAAATTCCCAAATATGTTTTTTTTAGGCCATTACACTAGCTGTGCCCCTTAATGGATTGCACACAATTTGTGGTTGAAATACTAAAAATTTATCCATTCTAACTGAGATTATGAAAAAAGTGTGCAAATATAATTACAACAGCAACTGCACTATTGAAATTTGATAAATATTTTTTAATTTTGTTTATTAACAGAGAAAAAAGTTGCGCTTCTATTGAGTGCTTCACAAGCACTTTACTTTTCTTTACATTTCTTTTTCGTCCAAATGACTTGAATATTCTCATAAATATCTTAATTATTCGCTTTTTAAGACCACTGGGGTTGAAAATAAAAGATTTTAATGGCGCATGTGGATTACTCTCCGTACTTGTTGCTCACATTTTTCTCGATGCGGTATACATGGATTCGCCTACATTGCTTCGTCTAATCATTTGAAGATTGCGCAAAGTACAACCGAGTATGAAAAATATTTAAACACGCTATGGAAGGTGTATTATTTTTTAGAAACAAACATGGCAAAGGACACATCCAGGACTTGCCGCACTTTTTGATGTGTATATATGTATAACACGAATATCTGTGTGTAGGTGCGTTATTATTTTGCGATTGTGTCGTGTCACTGTTGTCACTGATGTTCAGATTTGCATAACAACATTTTATTTATCCTTTTTTTCATATCCCATATCCCATCACACATCTTTTACATTTTGCATCCATTTATGTATGTATACCCGCAAGTATGTGTGTATAAACTGTTCGTAGTTTATATTTCTGTCAGGTCTGGTTTGGCTGAAATTGTTATTAGCACGGAAAGCGTGTCTGCCGTCAAGTAAAACCACCAACGTAAAAACTGCATGAATAAAATATTTTTAAATGCATATGTACACACATACACATACACATACACATACTCGTTTGTAAGTATTTCATGCCACTGGTTAAATACACCGCGTCGGCTTATCCGAAACCGAAGCGCCTGCTGAAAAGGTAAGCGCAATTCTGTTGATTAAATGATGTTTATCTTGATTGGATTTGGGAAAATCTTATCGTGACAACGGCAGGTCTGCGTTATTTATTCATATTGAGTTTTTAAATTCCACCTTCCTTCCGCCCATCCCTCTGTGCTGGCTGTAACCCGTAAATCGAACAGTTGTTTTCAATGTCCATGCACTTGTGTGTGCTTGTGGGGTGTAGCGTTTCAGAGCAGTTTTCGGAGCATAATTAATGTACGCAGGAATTGCGGCTATCATTACGCTGTAGTACGGCTGTAGTACTGCTTGAGATGACGTCCTCGAACGTTTTGAACATTATTTTGAACCCAGTGAGTTATGTATGTAAGTCACTGAGCAGGTAGTAAAAGGGTTTTGTTAGACGTGTGGCTGTGACGAAGCAATACTTTTTCGGCATCTGTTAGTTGATTTATGCTCAGTTTGTTTGACATTTCATATCGAAAATCGTCCAAACCTATTACCAAAATGATGGTTGGGTTAACGCGATGCGTCCAATATTCAGTAGAAATAATCCTACAGCAGAGTTAGTAACTCAAGCAACCATGGATCGGATTCACACCACGCTCATTCTAGTGGGTTACGCGAATCCTTAAGACCCTATTGCTGCTGGGCAGCAGAATATCGAAGAAAACCGGAACGAGACCAGCCGTCATCGCGCGCAATAACTGGAGCAGTACCCGTCCACTTTATGAAAGATTTTGCGGAAGGATCTTGCTTTGCGGGCTCACAAGTCCAACTCGGTTCGGTTAATGTGCTCAAAACGAGTTGGCCGCCGATCTTGATTTTCACAAGAACATTTTCTTCAGAAACTTTTGGTTAAAAGACTATGTTAATAAGCAAAATTGTCGCATTTGCAATGATAATAATCCACAAGACATTGCTGAAACGCCGAACTCTATGAAGCAGGAATCATTGGTCCATTTTTCTTCAAAACTGAAGCCGGCCACATTGTTATAGTCTATGGAGAAGGGTATAGAGTCATTAATGCATATTTCAGGCCTCAATTGAGGAATTTTGATGTGGACGACCTTTGGTTTCAGCAAGATGGCGCAAAGTGCCGCATTATGTCGGGTCGTGGTCCTATGGCGAGGTCTCTAAGATCTTCCGATTTAGCACTTGCTGAAATCATTTTTTACAACAAAACAGCAAACTCGTATCTCAAGGCCTTACTTTTCGTAAGCTGAGTTCGCGTCCATAACAAGGAATTGCATACATTTTGGTTCTTCTTGAAACGCACATGCCTTAAAAAACACTCTTAATTTGAAGAATGTGCTCTAATCTTAATTTTAAATACTTTTCTTGCTAGAGCCTAATATTTTTTTCTTATAACAGTAAACATTTTTACTTACTTTACACGGCAGATAGGCGTGATTTCCCATTTGCATTGTAATATTCGTCGTTCGCACTGAAGTGTTTGGCTGTTGTATGTTGTTCAGATAAGCCGCTGAATACAGTTCGTCCTCGCTCTCCTTCGGAATCGTTGGGGGCGATGTAAATGCCGGTAAGTCCGCCATGGCAAATTTCGGAAATGGCGGTAAAAATGTTGGTATTGAAAATCCCTTAATAAGTACATCGGAAGGCGGGGGAGGTTGTATATCAGGCGAGGCAATTTCATGACTATCCTCTTTAGCTGGTTCTACTGTAGCAGACTCTATTGTGTTTGCTTCCAATGGCGCGGACGCGGGAACTTTTGGCGACGACAAAGAAACTGTAGACGGTGTTGTTGCTGAAGTTACGGAATGTGGACTTGGTAACGTTGGGGGCGTCAAAGCTGTATATGGAACTGATGTTGCATAATCTGTTGTTGTTATTGTAAGTTGTTCTTCAAAAGATTTTGCAATGAATTCCGCATTTGCGGTTATATTTGATGATCCTTTAGGTGCTATCGTTTGGTATTCTAAATCCGCTGCGATGGAATCTGTGCGAGAAGATGGTAGAAAATAAAACCAAGATAAATAACATCGTATTGTTTAATTCAACTGTCTATTAAATTTTTTTCGGCTCTACTTGTACATATATTTATGACTAAAATTTCAATTCCCCTTATTTTGATAAGTGTCGTCGAGGAAAAAACGTCGAAAGTGGTGTAGTTTCTATCGATAATTGTCGTCATCGTCTTTACACTGCCCGTCAAAGCTTATATCGATCGGAAATGACGAGTTGAGCTGATATATCACGTCTGCCTGTCTGTTTGTAAGAAAACTAGCCCCTAAGTTGTTGAATTATTTCCACCAAGCTTTGAACACAGGAGCACTGTCATATTTTAACGACCCGCTTGTCAGAACGGATCAACTATCATGTATGTGTTGACCAATTTTTCAGATTTACGATTTTGGTAAAAAAACTTCAAGGATAGTAAAGTTAGGTACTCTGCATACATAGTCATGCCAGACTACACATTTGTCAAAGAAAATCATCGAAATCGGAAAACTTCTCTTTGTAGCCCCTCCAAGATATGAGATCGAAATGAAATACCACATTCAGCTTAGTAAAGTTTCAGCTTTTCGAGTAATTTTATTTACTTACTAGCAGACCCGACCACACATTGCTGTCTGTTCTTGTGTTTTCTACAATTTTCACTCAAATTGGTGTTGTAAAGAACGATAGAAAAACCCCTAATTGAACCTCATATAAGTGAAGATACTAATTTTTCCAACAATATTATAGATAGATAGATTTTCCAACAATATTATATCCAAATTATACCTATTTTTGCCAATCTGCCCCCGATCCCTTTCCTATAAAGAAAGTATTTCTTATATTTCGAGCAACTCGAACATGGTTCTTGATACCGGGTTGACTCTCAGGAAAGATAAGTTTTCTACTTCTGAATATCATCCAAAAATTTATCCGAACCATGAATAAGAATATTTATTTTTTTTTTCAAATAGATCGGTCCACTAACCGCAAGAAAATAATTTTAACTAAACTTATAAATGTTTTTGCAAAAAATCATATACGTACACATGTACATATGTATTGAAATGTAACTAAATCGGATTGTAAATACGAGTTTTTCGATTAGTTCGGTATCCAATCCGTTTTGCAGAGGGAAGGGAGGGATTAGTCTTCCTGCTAATCTGAGTAAAAAGCCACTAGAACAACGATTTTTCAAATAGGATAGTCCATGGTCCACTTCCCCTGAAAAGCTTCTATGTACAACCCTTTGCTGGAACCATAGAAACACACTGATAATATTTCAATATAATCTTACGGGTGGTCTCGGAAATCGCAGACAACAAATATCCAAAGCAACATTTTTTTAAATATGGAAATTTTTATTAAGTCTTCTTTGGACATTTTTACCTTTTATTTATTCTTTATGGTATGCATAAATATTTTTCATCGTGCTTTACATACGTATATATTTATATCTAACTATTTCCACAAGCTAAACAAAAATAAGTTGCATTGTGTGTACACAATTGTAAAGTCGCCCTGCAGGGAAAAATAGTAGTTGTTCACTAGAATCCGATTTTATGCAGTTTTGCACTAACCAATTCAACTTCCATCTATTTCTCATGTATGCAACTGGTTCTTTTAACACGGCGATGTCTTGCGAGCGGACAATACTATGCATCAGCTCCATACTAGTTGTATACTAGTTCACTTAGGCATGTTGAATTTCCAATTCACAAAAAAAAAAAAATATTAATAGAATACAGATGAGCTTGGCCGCTGCGAGAACTGAACCGAGATCCTCATGCACCGCAGTGAAGACCTCTCACCTCTACCATTATGATGTATAGTAGATAGCAACGAAATCTGCGCAATTCAACAGAACTTATTAGGAATTGAAATTCAGGTCTGGCGTACAAATACAACAACAACATACGAAAGACGATGTGGTGAAAATTTCTGGTTCATCAAAATTCACAAAAAAAAAAAATTAAAATTAATCTGCCTCTTGCGAGTGTCGAACCCTGGACCTAATGCGCTGCAGCGATAGCCATTCGGGTATCATAACGATGTAACGATCAATGTCATTGCGGCGTGCTGATATAACAACACCAAATGGTGGTGGAAATTATTAGGTTTTTCGGGACTGGTGGACTTCTTAAAAAATACCGAACTGGTATGATTTCATCTTCAAAATACTAGAATTTAACTAGAATGTTTCTCTGCAGGGCGGCTACATATGTGCGACTATGTACAAACAATACATGAGTAAATGGAGCTACCAGAAACATATCCATGTCAAGCCAAAATTCAATTCGACAGACGGAATGTCGCCTGAAGTACGTTGAATGTGACCGAGTCGTGTCACTCATACGAGTGGGTGGTTCAGCTTTTGCTGCGGTTAGAAATTTACTTATATTCAGGAAAATACATTTTTTATCATTTAAATATACCCTTCTTGAAATATAATATAACGTTTTTTAATACAATATATATCGATTATAACTCAGTCGTTTATATTATGTTTTATTTTAAGCTTTTAGAATTAAATTCGAGTTCAAGCTGTAGAATAACTTGTGGTTGAGTGTTTGAATAAATAGATAAAGAATCGATCTGTTAATGTTACATATATATATATATATGCCTCCATCCAATTTATAGAAAAAAAGCTGACTAGCACATATAACCGCCCTCAACCGATTTGGGGTACTGATTGTAAAACAACAGCAGACATTCTTACAATATCTTGAAGAAGTAAAGAAGGCTAAGTTCGAGTGTAACCTAAAATTATATGCTCGGACTTTACTACTCGTTAAGTATTCGATCATGAGTCAAGCGGCGGTCGAGTGTACTTTAAAAAGGCCGTTATAATCTGTAATGTATAGGTTTTGAGATTCAATTGCATTCAAGTCTTCCACTTATCGAAGTAAACTCCTGTCCGCTGATGAAGAGTACCACATATCCCCATCTTGGGAGAGGGCAATTACTCAAAAACCTCCAATCGGAGGGGGCAAAAAATAAATATATAAGTTTTGTTTCTTAAATTAGTTTGTAACATTCTGGTCGAATCCTAACCCTCCAAATGGCAGTACGCACTGCTAACCCTCGGTTATCACGGCCACCATGAAAGGCATAAAGCACTTCTTATTATGTACGCCGAGCGAAGAGGTTGGTATAAATATAAAGAGTCAGTTTGTCAGGAGTAAAATATTACATACATACACATATACATTCGGTTATGCGAATTCTTGTTAAAAACATGTCGATTTTAGACATGACATGACACAAACACAATGACGTTATTTACTTTCCATGCTTCTTCATTACATTTTGCGCACAAAGCAAATCACACTGCCCATAAAATTTGATGGCAAAAACGAGGCGTGGATAGACAGACTTTATGTTGAAACTCACGCCAACCCCGCAGTGAAATAAAGTAGTTAAATACTACTTTGCGACTAGTCAGCCAAGCAAGCACAGGCAAGCAAGCAGTAACAAGTGCTTATTTTACACTGTCCTACGAAATGGTAACTGGCAGTTTGGAAAAAGATGAAAAAATAAAAGAACTTTACTTAGCAGCTTTGTGATTTCCACCGGCTTGGTACTTTTCCACCTTAATGCGGATTCAGTCAAATAATGCTACCAGCAAGCTTGCTTCTCCTAAGACTTCGCTGTAGGAAATATACAATGTATAAATGGAAGTATTTAGGTGGGAAATAAACAAAACAATAGCCTTTTTGCTAACTTCTTTTGTTCCTACATATTGCTATTGCTCCTCTTCCCATTCCCCCTTTTTTGGTGTTTTTTTTTTTAATTTTCTGTAGACTTGTTTTTGAAAATTTTGATTTGAAAATGTGTTAAGTGTGCCGCCTTATCTTACAACCATGAATATATCTGCAAAAACATTTAATTTAAAATTTGAGTTAATAATGTCCGCAATTGATGTGGGCATCCCCAATATGCTCGCCTGTACAGAACAAACGAGGGGTGTTAAAAAATTGCAGGAATTTGTATATTTAGCAATGCTAGAATCGGCCTAACCTCCGAAGCTGTAGGGTAGTGTCAGCTGGCGATAAGAAATATAAAAAGCTCGTCAGTATAGGGAAGGACCTCTCCGAGCCGTTCAATACTGAGCAAAGTTTTAAACGAGGTGACTCCTTATTGTGTGACATCTTTATTTGTTGTTGGGGAAATTAAAACCAGCTGCAGAGCTAAAAAAGAAGTATTCTATAAGAAGGTACAACTGCTACCGGATGCCGACAATATTGAAATCATTGTGCTCAAAAACCATACCGTTAGTCCGGCCCTCGCCAGACTGGATAAGGAAGGGCAGCGTATGCGGCTTCCACTTCTTTACTGGAATTAACAGCAACAGTCGCGTCTGCCTTGAAATCGAATTGCCACCGGCTGCTTCTACGAACTGAGTAGGAAAGTTCTATATAGTCCGGAGGCATGGACGACATTCGATGAGCCGGTGCAAAGAGTTTAAAGAGGATGGTTGTTGCGAAAGATTTATGGTAATTTTTGCATTAGCAACCACAAATGACTCAGTTAATGGAGTGATGAGCTGAAGGAGATATACCGGGGCATTCGCATAATTCAGCGAAGCAAGGAGGCACACTAGCTTTGATAGAGAGATAGGGGAATAACTGCACTCTGTTTGAAAGATCAGGAGGGCCTGGCGCACTGTTTTTAACACCGTCGTCGGCTGGCTAAAGTGTATAATCTCTAATTGGTATTATTTTAAGGCAACAACATCAATGTAGACGAATTAACAAATTTTTGGTAAGCAAAATAAAGACTCCTGTAAATATTGAGCAAACCCCGTATGTGTATAAAGTTTTTACGGGACTTAAGCTCAATTTTTTTAATTTTGGAATAAAAAAAATTTGGATATAACACATACGTACGAGCTTCATTTGGGCGGCTCCACAATTTATGTATGCAAAATAAGTATAATCCATGATTTTTGCCTGCGTGAGGAAGAGTAGAAGTATCCAATAAGGCAGAGCTAAGGTC